GTAAGTCGACGACATAGTACCTGCGCGTCGCGGGGCCTCAATGGAGTGGGCCTGATTTCACCCAGGAGTGGGTGAAATCAGGCTGTAGATGTTGATGATGATAGCTTGACCTGTATACTAAATCTACATCAAATTGCGTAATATAAAATAGACTTACATTCCTTATAAATAGGATTGATAGTAGTCATAACGCATCCTGCTTGTAAAGCGCCAAAGCTGACCACAACGAACTCTGGGTTGTTTGGCAACATTGCAGCCACGACGTCACCCTGCTGCAAGCCCAATTTCCGGCGCAGCGACGTGGCGAATACCGCCATGTAATGCTGCAGCTGGTTATAGGTGTACTGCTTTTTTGTTTCTGCACATTCCTAAAAAAAACGTGTATTTTAAGAGAACCTGTTGTTGTGCCTTGTTTTTCACCCCCGACGCAAAAAGATGGGAGTAACAAGTTGAAGCCTTTGTTTATGTATCCGCATGTCTGCCTGTGGCATTGTAGCTCCCAAACGAATGGACTAATCTCAAAGCAGTTTTTATTTTAAGGCTAATTTAATCGGGATGGTTCTTAAGTATGTTTGATCAACATCATCCAATTGTTTAAAGATTACCTGTTACCTGTTATATTTATTATACTTCCACTTGAACCACTTGAAATTGGCCCAGTTCAAGAAATCCTTAAGTCCATTTAGGGATTTTATCACTATTACGACCATTGGCGAAAACTCAACATTGTCTTACCGTTTTGTTTCTAACTAGTTCCTATGCCATGTTTTAAATAAATAATAAACTCCCAAGTCCAACGACTGGACTTCAAGATCAATCTAAGTCCAAGAAATCTTGGTATTGATCTTGAAGTCTTTAGTCCATCCACCCTTAGTCCATCTTTTTTGTTATATAAATATTGAAGCTAAAGCTACCAATTATTGGTATAGTATCTAATGAAAATCCAATGTCATTATAATAATAATATGGTAACTTTGATCTGACGTTGCAACTACGACAGTCTGTAGATGGTCTGTAGACTACCTAACTCGTCAACTACTGACAACTAAAGTGTTTGGTCTCGACAAAACTGTTAGCTTGTATAATTGTAAGTCAATGGCTTGAATATATTATTTGCTCTTATGTGCAATAATCAATCATTTTTATTTTATAATAATGATAATGGGAATGAAAATGCGAATCTAAGAGCGTGATTATATAAATAAAAAATACTCATTGCCCCGCACTAAGCCTGTACCGTGGGTACCAGGAACATACACATAGACAACCACAAATTACACCCGAGATGAGACGAGAGAGACTCACGAGAGATATTAATGTAGGCCACACAAATATTTCCCCGGCCCGGGACCTCTGCGTGACAGTCTAGCGTGGTAACATGGAGACAGTTGATTATTGATACTGATTGAGTTAACAAATTGTATAATACTGTTTGGCGAACAGTTCTAACTAATCACTCTAATGATAGCCGAGCTTTATTAAAATGATCAAATGATTCCCCTCAAATGTGCAATTTATAGGAGTTATCCATTATCACCTTGGGTAGTTGTGTATTTGATCCGAGATCATTGTATTAGTTATATTAGCTTTGGAAATAAAATTTTATTTTTCACATCTAAATCCCATGCTTTTTTCAAACAACGTTTCAGGTTCTTTAAGCCCGGCGCCCATAGACGGACCGGTATGACCAGGGATCCTTCGGCATTCCTCCAAGCAAACACACAAAGACGGCAATTAAGCCTCGGTATCCACCGAGCGCCTAGCTGAACACAACGAACTCTGGTTTGTTGGGCAACATTACAGCCACGACGTCACCCTGCTGCAAGCTTAATTTCCTGCGCAGGGAAGTGGTGAATACTGCCCTGTAACGTTGTAGCTGGTTTATTAAAAAATAAAAGGGTTTAAGAAGGGTCCTAAAGGGTCGACAACGCGCTCGTAACGCCTCTGGTGTTGCAGGCGTTCATAGGCGACGGTAACTGCTTTCCATCAGGCGGGCCTTATGCTTAATAATAATAAAAAAATTACCAGTTGTAGGTATATTCAAAAACGGTAGTCTTGCTGAAGAAGAATAAGAGAACGATATTACAAGATTTAGGGAGAATAACCTTCGGAAACCTGCCGACGCATCCCGAAGGCTACCAAGCAAGGCACTGCAGAGGTAGCCGGCCCAGGGGGTCGATTCAGAACCTTACGATAAGTCAGTTGTCGACCGATTCGATTTGATATCGTACGATTTCTTTTCATTTTTATTCACAACACCCGAATCGAACGTCAAACTGTCATATTCAAAACCGAGCCGAAATGACGTCACACCCGTACGATTACTCGAACTTCTCTACCGGCAAAGGCTACAAACGTTATTCCGAACACAGTTATCGAATAAGTAACCGAACGTCCTATTATTCACAAAGCAAGAATGTAATATGGAAATCTCTTATTATTTTAAATAAAATCTGCATTTTAGGCTCAATTTCAATAATGTATTTTAATGCAAGACTAATGCATTCCTGTATGTCTAAAAAATGTTTATAAAAGGATTTTCATTTTTCTTATAATCTATTTCACCGACTAACTCCGTAAACGACAAACGTTTAACTCGGAGTGTTCTGAATAGCTCGGAAAGCGCCCTTCGATTCGAGAACGATATCCAATCGAACGATTCGATTAAAATATCGAAGAGTTCTGAATCGGGGTCCAGGTCCTGTACTATCGTTCTGCGTCCGATATCCGTCCGAAACAATTACTGGCAAATAAGTAAGACTCGACCAAAATAAAAGACGCATGACGCGAATGAAGTTTCATAGTTGACATTGTCTTTTATAATTTGGACGAGTATTACTTATTTCACGGTAATTGTTTCAGACGGATGTCGAACGAAGCACGGGAATAGACCCCCAGTACCCCAAAACTTACCACAGCTGCCTTTTTGTAGCCACAACCATTATAATAGAAATAACAACTACAATGTCATTAAATTAAGGTATATTACTATACGCCATGTAAAAATTCCGATGCCGGGTGTTACAGGTCACACGGTTACTGCTGACTGAGATAGTAAAGTCGTCAATATGTCTAATATTATTTATGAAAAGCACCCCATTGGATCTGAATGGTTCAGTAAAAGGATCCCTGCTGATCTAACGTTACTTACTTACATCATATAGTTTACTAGATACAGTTACGAGCACAGCAAGCTGACATTTTGGACTTTGGATCGTTCGTAATGTAAGCGTCATAAGTTAAATTTAAATCTTAAGTTTGTCACGCTAGCGTACGCTCTTGACCCTGTAGCGCGCTAGTAAAATGCTAACAAAGGAATTTCCGAGGGGTCTTTAGTAAGAAACACGTAGTGATTAGGTTAGAGAAAAAAAAGGGATAGAGATAATGGATGTTAATGACGTATATGTAAATACAACTATTGTGGATGGTAACGGGGGAAAGATCAACCTTGATCTACATAACTCCTATATGAGGTGTCTTTAAAAAGGCAATTTCAAAAGTAATAAGAACAAAAGGGCGCGAACAAAAAGATCAGTTAGCAGTAGGTATACCAGGAGAGTAAGTAGCAGTTGAAAGTCCCCAGCCTACCTCAGTGAAACAGGCATTAATAACATTATCATCAATAATCTTTCTTAATTTCTCTAAAAAGAGGGTTTTATACATATCTCTTAATAAAATAAAGGAAAATTATTAACCAACACATTTTTTTAATAAGCGGTTAACTGTGTTACGCGTAATTATCAGGTCAGTTTTTTCTACTTAATTTCGGTGGCAATTTTTGTTATAACGCTTTTCCTTCAAAACCGGAACGCAGTAATTGCTCACATTAGCTGAATAGGTAAGGTAGCAGTACCTACTTCCCTGGCCGAACTTTTTCACAAGGACCTCTACTCCTACTAAAAATTATATATGTATAGTTCGTATTGAAGCCATAGTTACAAGCCGCTACAGAAATGGTGATACTATAATGGCATATCGACTGTGAACTGGCAATCGTACTATCTCAATTTTGACAACTTTACAGGTGAAGAAAAACAAACAAAAAACCGACCTCAAAAGTACGTGGAATTACATCTGTTTGCCAAGTTTTATTGAAATCGATTACCGGAAAGTGCGTAAATCCGGATTCATCCTCTAGTTCGCCACTATACGGGACTTGACACAGGAGATAATAAAAATCGGTTCTCACTATTTAAAGTATATTGAGTGAAAACCGCCTTGAATTGGAGAATAGCAAAATCAACCATTAAAATAATTGGTCCTTATAATAAAATTTATGCGCTATTTATAAAAATGAATCTTCATGCGTGAACAGCCACCCTTAGAGGTGGATGATTTTCTTCAAAATTAAATGAAACCACTATGCTCTTTCCAACAAACATCATACTCAAGTCCTTGCCATTAGGGTCGTATTTCCAGTGCTTGAAATCATACTCAAATCTGCTCAAGTCCTGACTTGAGTAGAGTTCTGGAATACGACTCTTATGGTCGTATTCCAAAACTCTACTCTATGCTCAAGTCAGGATTGCAATGGAAACACAAGCACTGGAAAAACGACCCTAATGTCTGGGACTTGAGTATGTTTTCGAGTGCTTTAAACCATACTCAAATCCTGACTTGAACATTGAGTAGAGTTCTAGAATACGACTCTTAGACTTCTTCGCTTGCTCTAGTTTCAATAAAAGCACTCCCGCCAAACAACAACTTTGCAGCCTTGCATAACAAATAACTATTAATGTGAATTTGTTAATAATAAAAATAAGTTTAAGATAACAAAGAATGAAAACATAAACAGACAAAGTCCAAATCGTATCATGTGCCCACAATTTCGATGGATTTGTTTTTATTGTGTTGATAGTACTAACACGCTATTCTGCTTCGCAATACGCAATGTTTGATAAGGCTTAAAGAGATTAGGGCAATGACTTTTGTTCAAAACGTTATACAGCGACTTTACAATCTTTTGCCAGTCATTTTTTCTCGTCGTAAGTGATCTCCGCCTACCAAGAAAGGAAAAGGCGGTGAAATGTATTGTGGACTTTCTGACATATTAAAATGAGTAAAACATTTTCAATAAAAACCAGCACAATTATAATTCAGGTCATGGTTGTACAAGCCCCAGGCAATGCTTATACATGTCGAATGTCCTCAAAAAACTGGTTCATGGTGTTTTATACATACCCAGTATGTACGAGGATTTTCAAATATATATTTATTTATTAACCGACTTTAAAAAAAGAGGAGGTTCTCAATTCAACTGTATTTTTTTACGTAGGTACGTTACGCATAACTCGTGAACCGATTTTGATGATTCTTTTTTTGTTGGAAAGAGGGTATCTCGGTAGCGGGCCCATTGAAATTTAAAGAAAATATTCTACTTCTAAGGGTAACTAGGTGATGAAACCGGTTTCTCACATTTTCCGGCAACCGATTTCAATGAAACTTGGTAAATAGATGTTATTCCACAAACTTTTAAGGTCGGTTTTTTAGTACTCTGTACTGAGATTATTTCTCAAATAAATAATAATATGAATTATCGCTCTATGAACATTGAACTTGTATAGTTATACTTAGATAATATTATAGTTACAGTTCTTTAAATAAATTGTACTTATTGCAAAAAAAAAAATACACATAAATTAAAGCAAAACATTTCATTTTATTTTATTTATAACTCAATGATTTTACCGGTAAATTTTAGAACAAAATATCAAAAACAATTTTTATAAAAAACTAGGTGCCATTTTCGCAAAACTATGTATGTCATGTTGATTGATACGTTAAGCTTATCAGCACCCCTATAAAATTAATATTACAATTATTACAGATATTAATCGACTAAACCTAAATACAGCAACGCAACAAAGAATAATAAAAAAATAAGAAAATATTTACAAACGGCCAAACACATTCATGAAAATTTATGTTTATTTATTTATTTATAAAGCATTGGCTTCAGAGCCATCAGCTTAATGGTAACAAATAATCAAAACAATATACGTAAACTAAAAATAATTCGTGTAAAAAATGTAACTATTAAAACCCGCCATTTGTTCTTTTATGTGAAAATTGAAAAGATCGCCATAGACAAGACTTTTTGAGTTCATTTTTATAGTTTAGCGGAGAGGAATGACGGTGAGTGGACATTAGCCTCGCGGCATTCGCCTTTATGGGTACAATCAAATTTAACGTCTTAAGGCCCTGTATACATTAATGGTCAATTATGTGAAGTGATTCAGACTTAAACAATACTATGACTAAGATCATTTGTAAACGCACAGTGTGCATTATAATGAAAATATCACATAGAAATTTGATGCTTTATATTTATAAGCTATTTAGAAACATTACTATATAACATTTTTAATTTTATTAAAAACTGACGGCGTATACTTGCTTGGGCCTGAAGGAAATAATATTATCACTAGTAATTAACTGGTTGATGACTTTACCACCTCAGTCAACCATGACCATGGGACCTTGAAAAGGGTCCGAAACGTTGGTTTGTTTTTTTAAATCCGGAAAAATAGTTTCATTTCCTGTGTGTAATAATCGCGAAACCTAAGAACTCGATAAATAATATAATTATTTATTATTACATTTTGAGGCCACTGGGCATTTTTCCCCTATTACAGTTTTTTTTATAATCCCAAGTGACAGGACAAACAAGTCATGTCTGTATGGTAAGCGACACGACCGTCCATAATACTTCTAGTGCCGCTCAAAGTTTTAAATTGCAAATATTTGAGGGACACTGCCGCTGCACCCGTCACCCTGAGACTTAAGTTGACAAGTTCCATATGCCTGTAATTTCACTAGCATCCTTACCCTTCAAAACTGGAACGCAGTAATGCTCACATTACTGCTTGGCAGCAGAAATGCGTGAAGTGGCAATACTCCACTGTGTTTGCTGGGTTTTAGGAGGTTAAATTAAACGGTTTGGTTATCGAAATTGACAATTAGTGCTAACCACATGTTACCGGAATAAGCTTTATCAGCATGGACAGTAAAACAATATTGTAACTATTAATTACAAATACTCAACGACTTTTCCATTTTTTGTGTTTTCGTATTCCTTCAATTGCGTTTTTCTCAGACAATTTAATGGTGTACACACATTGACTTACAATTATATGGACGTCGGGTCCGCGCTAAAAAGTGTCCGCACTTGTAAGGCGCTAAAATCGTATACAGAGCGCCAAACTCCGCTTTAGTCTTCATTTGTTCGACTGACAGCGCGATACTGCGATGACATTACAATTTAAATTTCGAATAGGTTGACTTGGGACATTTTTTTCGTGGTTTTTGTATTAGACCCGTCGTCCATTTATTTGTAAGTCAATGTGTACACAGTGTCAATACCTATTATTTAAATTGTGCTAACTGGTTTAGTTTTTGCATAACAGAATAAGTTACCTTTTATAAAAATATTGTCCCGAATGAATTTGAATATTTACACAGTATTAAGTTAAGGAAAATATGGTAATTATATTTTAAATTACTTTGTAAGTACGTACAGTGTTACAACCTTGCGCCTTTTGAGCATTTTTGAGACTCTAGATCCTGGCTTTTCAGTTCGATTCGTAGAACCTCTTATGACCAGACGAGCAGCAAGACGGACGCATTGCGAGCCTAGACACAATGCCTCAGTACCAGGCTCTTGATTAAATTTTCTATCTTCAGGTACAAGAAATAAGGTAGAAAATTCCCAATTTTTCTTTACTTATTTGTTACGCATAAATTTATTACCTATATGATTTTTCTAGTATTTATTGCCGAGTAAATATCTATTACACAAATACAATGAATAGTGAAATAACTATTAAAAAGCTGTTTGTATTTACCTATATAGGGTAAACCGGGTCAAACTGTTAAAATAGCTACTTCTTAAGTACTTTGTAATTTCTGTTTCATTAACTGCTCACTAACAATGACAAGTTATGTAAATTTGTTAGTATTAGAACTTAAGACAAGTTATTTCAACTTAGACATTGTCATTTGTAAACAAATAATATTTAAATTATACTAACTTGTACATACATCAACATAATTTCATTTGGGTATTTTAGTTTTAAAACCAACAATAATTAAAAAACTTACAAGAGCCACATTGTTTTGAAAACTCTTCGATTCTTTCCACAACCGGTCCAAAAATCTCATATTCGGAATAACAGCATCTTTGTACGGTGAATGAATGATCCATTCCTCATTTTTTCTCACAGACGCTGAGGCCGAGAACTTCCTTTGCTTCAACTGCTTGACATGGCGAAAGAACTTAGAGAACGAAATTCGCGCGGAATTTTGCATGGCGGTACAAAATGGCGTCTGTTTCACTCGCGTTTACAGCGATGTCTGAACCAAAACCAATAAATAACCGCGGGCACAAACTTTTGCGCAAGCGATAAAATCGCTAATTGAAAATTATCACAAGCCTATCGATGACGAAACGGCCTTGTTTATTTGGAAACAGAAGTAAATTTATTTGAAACCTGATCAAAAACTAGTACGTAGTAACTAATGTAGTTATGGCTATATAAAATTTGGGCGCCCTGAGAAGTTCCAATTTAATAAAATCAGTGATCTAAGATCTGAACAAGATCAAAACAAATCCGATTAAAGTTGACGAGACGTAAATAGTCAGATAAGCATCCAAACTTACATCCAAACATATTTTATTTTTATGATATCAAGTGACGGGACGAACAAAGATCTTAGGGGCACTATCACTGCGTCTGTCACCCTGAGACATTTTTTTTTGCTTGGGGAAATCCTCCTAGGATACCTCTCCGCCGCGGGGGCAGCGGGAGATTATGCCGACTTCTACCGGCTAAAACCCCACGGTGGCCTTCTCGGGTGCTCTAGTGGGAAGGATCCGGGATCGACTTTGCGCACCGGAACCCCCCAGCACCTAGGAGGAGCTACGTCCTCCCCCTCCTCTCCTCACGACGAAGCGGGCCACATCGCCCCGTCGTCCTCCTCGCGGCTGCTTAACTTACTGGCGAAGCCCCCGCCCCGATCGCCCGCAGCCGCGAAGGTTCACAAGAAGCTCTATTGCTACTAACTTTTCTATAATAGGTCTGGGTGTTACTGGTACCGTCATCAGAGCAATGTTTATGATGGTATCTAATATTTATTATTATTTAGCTTTTTATTTTACCAAGTTCTTTTTTTATAACATCATGTGACGGGACGAACAAGTCGTGCGCCTTATGGTAAGCTACAAGGCTGTACACAACGGTTACAGTTCCCTGGACGAACCCTACTGCTACTGATACAATTAATATATTAATACTTCAGTGATTTTCAGGTAAGTTTTTAATACTCAAATTTGGTGACAATTTCTTTTTATTGAAATATTTATAGATTATTATCATGAAGCATTATTTAATATTCGAGTGTGGTAACCTGAAATATTCCTTAACATTTCACGATGATATATTCGATTTATAATTAAATGATAAAAATTGTCACCAAAATTGAATACAAAAACTTACCTCAAAATCACTGAATTAATCTTTTGCTTTAGTATAAGGTATCTACGTAGTTCTAATTTCCAGACAGCTAAGACCTAAGTATAATAAGTTATCGCTTGTTTGATGGCACTACGAAGCTTATTAATATGACATATCAAGATGTCGGCGAGTAGTGATAAAATTATTGTCGTGAAAATTAGCCTTTAGTGCACAAATATAAGAATGATAATAAAATAGGTATAAGTTTGGTGCAAACGTCATGCAATTTCTCAGACATTGCAATTAATTATACATTCCCTTGGTAAGATAGGTAATAACAAAGGACCCTGGCTTAATATGAAGATTTATTAGTATTATTTTACATCGAACTAATAAGGGTGCTGCCACGCGGGTGTTGCGTCGACGCAACTGCGTTGTACTACAACGACGTAACGTATATAAATCAACGACATGCCGACATGCGTGCGTTGAAACAACGCGCATCGACGGAACAGCTCGTGTGGCACTCAATCCGTTGTAATGAACGCAGTTGCGACAACGCAACGCCCGTGTGGCATCACCCAAAACTTGAGAGACTACAAAAAATCCATATGAATGTATATGCGTTACATATTAGCCTATAAGAAAAGTAATTTGTGGCCGCATATAGTATACTTAGGAATACATTTTTTTTTACTTTGCCGTACTAAAAGATAAAGGTGGTCGGGGGATTAGAAACTAGGTAGGTACGCCTCAAAGTCACTCATAGCGTCTCGCACACTTCGAATCCCCGTCGCGTGAGCTGCCTGGTCACATTTTCGCAGTCTTTTTGTACCTTTTCCCATTGTAGTTACGTAGCGCAGTTATTTTTTACTTAATAAATCCTCCCAAAAATTCATTAGCTAATAGGTTTGTTAAATTAAAACAGGCCGCCATTCTTATATAATTGTAACGTTCGCTCAATGTTTAAAAAATTGTTGTGTTTATGGTTGTTAGAACAAGAATGTCTTAAATTCAGAATTGTCGTTTTTCTCGATACCTACTAACTGAACATTTGGGGTAAGTTACACATATTTTTATTTATTTGTTTATTCGTCGACTTTGTGTATGGGTTAACACCCATTAACACTCTCCTCATGTACTTTTTTAAATTGGTTCTTATCTGGGTGTACACAGATCGTACTATCTGGATAGAACGACGATTAGGCACTTTTTAAACAGATGAAACGTGTAATCTTTTTGGTAAACTTCGCCCACAACGTGATCTTGAAAGTGCGTAATTAGTGAAGTAACATAACATTTATTAACATAATATACATTAACATAATATTTTCATCTCTATTTGGTAATCATACTCCCATAATCAAGATACCAATGCAGATATAAAAGCATCAATATACGAACACTTTAATTTTGCAAATTATGTTTACAACCTGTTATGTAGGTTACAACTAAAATAATAATGTAACAACCCTACGCTCCGAGCGAAGTGCAGGCATGATGAGCCCAAGAGGCGGGAGTTACTCCACTGGGTCATAGTATAATATGATGATAATACTTAAGAACACACAGACTAAATATTCTGAATATATAGGTAGGTACCTATTTATTTAAAAAAATTGTTGTCGTTTAGAGTACACCCGCCGATAATTTCTAGTAAGTAAAGAAACAATAAAAGAATAAAGATAAAAATTAACACCTAATTACTGTGCAAAATTTATGTTCTTAGGCGCGTGATAAGACGGCTTATTAGCAATAAAAAATAAGGTTATACTTATCACCTAAGGTTAGGCTTAAATGATAGTCTGATAGCGCGGTATCGAGACAGGCCAGTGATCTTTTGTTTGTGAAGAATGATACTGCACATTCTCAGATAAGTGTGAGAAATAGGTTTAGAAAAACAAGTCCTAGACAATGATTATTATTGATACAAAGATCGGACGAAAATAACGAAAAATTCCTTCCAAAGAATTTTTCTTTGTGTTTGTTCTATCTTAAGAAATAATAAACTAATATAGAGTATTTTTATAAATAATAATCTCAGTACAGAGTTCTAAAAAAACCGACCTGAAAAGTCATTCGTCCTCTAGTTTGCCATCTTTAGAGGTTGAATATTTTCTTCAAATTTAAACAGGGCCACTAATAAGGTACAAACAAAAATCAAGACACACAAGAATCATCAAAATCAGCTCTCAATTCTCGAGTTATCGCGTAAAATACATACCAAAAAAGAATTGAGAACACCCTCCTTTATTTCAAGTCGGTTAAAAATAGTCGAATATGATGGTAGGTAGTAAAAACATGATATTTAATAAAAATAATAAATATTGAAACCAGACAATGATATTAAAAAGTTACTAACGATCAAAAAGTTACCTGTGCTGTTTATCAAATGCCTTGACATAACTCTTATTTACTATATTTAGTAAGTGCTTCATATAATATTCATATCGAGTTTCGTTAGGTTTGTGATGCGTACGCGCGATATTAACATTACGTGCACATGTTGGAATGTGCAGGAAATAAGTACACAGGTTAGCATGTTCAGTTAATTATTTTGCAGTCTATACCGTCCTGTACTTTGTAATCTTAGTATTGCACTTTGTACTGGACTTTGATCCTTTAGTAAAAATAGCAATGATATCTTTTCACCCAATTGTAATAGGCACAATCATATATTCTACGTAAACAGCAATGTCGAGACCCATTATTTTTCTTATTATTTACTGAGCATTTCACCTCTATCTCTCGTGATGGAAAGTGACGATGAGGTCGACGATTGAACATGCATACCAAAATAATCAATCTCGTTTTGAAAGGGCCAACTAATAGCGTTTAGGGAATAAGTCAGCAGGTAGGGAATTCCACTCCAAGCCGTTCACCATATAAATGTGGAAGCGAGGCGCTTCGTGCGAATCCTTGAAATATCCACAACAAAAGAGGTGGAACCCCAGTCTACGTCCAGTCCCCCGAAGATGGAAAGGGGAAGGTGGAATTACATCATGCAATTCTCTCGCATACTCTCCGTGATATATGCTGTAGAATAACGATAAGCAGGCAACAGTGGTCAAGGCTCTGCAGCTTCGCCTCTACTAATTTCCAGTCACTTATACGCCTCTAATTATGATGCAAAAACTGACTCTCGTCGTTTATCTTTATCTCACACCAGTATCGAAACCGATTTAAATTAGGAAGAAAAAAACAAAATCTTTTTGTTTATTTTAATTACATTATTATTTACATAATATAATAAGAATGTATTGTATATTTAAAAACATTTCAATCGAATTGCTTTAATGTAAATAGTAAAACAATTGTAAAGGACTAGCCAATTTCTAAAGGTAACACGTAATTTCAAATTATTGCACATAATTTTAGCTAAACCAATTAATAAAATACAATAATTACCTCGTATAAGTAAGCAGTGGAGAACAATAATCACCAATAAGTCATTCAGTATTCATAATGTAATTGTGATAGTGTCGTATTATGATACACATTGTGTAATTATGGTGTATGCAAACATTAAAAAATAACAATTCAATTTAATGCCGATCAGATCTACTAGAATATAAAGTTCTAAATATTATAATAATAAGACGGAATATTAGTGACAGAAATAAATTCTGTAAAAAAAATACACCAACAAAATTAGTATTGCAATTAAAAATGTGACATTGAATAGGAAATAAAACCGACCTACAGATGTTGGTACAGTCGTCATAATCAATAATACTAGTTCACGGGTTTAAAAAGGAAAGCTTTGCCAATTGAATGTGTCAATTAGGGAGTAATGAACCTACCAAATTAAACTTTGGTCGAGGCAAGATAAGTGACAAGTCTATTACGAATTTCTCTATAATCTAATTTATTGGAATGTGCTATTATTCCATGTTCTTATCATAAAAACTTTTAATTTCTAAATTCTACATTGATTCATCTCTAAGGCAATACACACTACAAATACTTTGAACAAACACTTTAGAGTTCATATAAGTATCAATGTACATCATAAAAGTACATATAAAAGAATGGTATTACAAAACAAATCTTAATTCTAAAAACTATTACAACTTCAAAATGCAAAGGTATAAAGGCAAGATGTATGAGGTGATACTTAAAATATTAAAAAAATTAAATGCTTAAAATACGCAAAAAAAATGTAAATATTCATAATTAAAAATTAAGAATTCATTAAAAAATTTTAAGCCTAAGCTGAGATTATTAGTACAGATTCAATGTATACATTACTAAAATACCATATTACCTTGAGAATTTTCTCAAAATGTAAGTGTTTCGAGGAAAAAAAATGTAAAGATTTCTTTCTCCTTGTAATAGGCGCCTTGACGTCGAGTTGCGGACACTAGCCCGTTACACCAAGTACCAAGTACCAAGTTCTTTCTCCTTATAACCTACCTTAAAATAATTTTTAGTTCACAAAAAACTATCTTATTTATTAATACGCAAGGTCAAAATTGTTAGTTAATAACTAAAAGCACTTTAAAAATTATAGTCAATATTTTAATAATACTAGCGAACACGTTAAAATGTCTCTACGTCAAATATTAAATTTCAAGTCCAGTGCTGAGTCTTAGGCCCTACAATTTCAATTATCTTAAATATTTCTAATGAACTTGGTAAGATTTTAATAATTTAATTTTTTACTAACATTACAAAACAAGCGCCATGAAATAATTTGATAGGTGTTTTTATGATACGAAGTGACGGGGTGAACAAGCCGTGAGCCTGGTGATAAACGTCACGCCTTTCCATAACAGTTGCAGTGCCACCCAGAACTTTATATCGTAAAGATTTGTGGGACACTGCCAACGCGCCTATCACCTTGAGACATAAATTGACAGGTCTTACGTGAAAGTAATTTCACCAGTACTCCTACCCTTCATAACCGGAACACAGTAATGCTCATATTACTGCTTGGCGGCAGAAATAGGTAAGGGGGCACTTAGACATACTCTTTCACAGGGAGCCCTTCTGCTACTAAATTTATGTATTGGCACACTTAAATATATTATCCCGATATTTTGGTACTATTATCTAGTACATTATTATAATTATGTGGTTATTACACTAACGCGAAAGTTCAAAAAAAAATTAAAAAATTCTTTATTTAACTTGTCTTTAGGTTTAATACTATTTGTGATAATTACTGAAAGAAGACAATACCGCAATGGCTAATGAAATTAAGTTACTTATCCTCACTGTAGTAAATGTATTTCCAAAATTACTCTTATATTATTAATACATACTTGTGTATAAGGAAGAACAATAAGGCACTTTTGTACGACTAGTTAACAAATGTTCTTAAATAGTTATAAACGATACTTTAGATATGTTGTACACATTTACTGTATATAAATTTGTTACAATAATTTATCTATTGTATTGTACGTCTGGTTTTCGACTTTAGTTTGGTTACTATAGTTTGAGGTAAGACATTTAAACCGGGTGCGTGAAGTTGATCCCGGATACCTGCCACTAGAGCATTCCAGAAGGCCACTGTGGGGTTTTAGCCGGTAAAATATTTATCCTAAGAGGATTACCCCACGAGAAAAAAAAGACATTTAATCCACAATATTTTATAAAAAGTTAAAGGAATCCGTAACTTTTACACGTTGTTAGAATAACAAAATTTATTTTTGTTATGACACCAAGTCACGGGACAAAGAAGTCGTGTCTGGTGGTAACCGAAGTTGCAGAGCCACTCAAGAAATCTGAGGGGCAGTGCCACTGTCCCTCTCACCATGCGACATAAGTTGACAAGTCCCATATGCCTGTAATTTCATATGTGATGTAATTCATTTTATTATTGTCACAATATTAATAGATTCAGATGTCACTTTGCTGAAATCCATTTTAATAAAAATTGAAGTAACTTACTAAGCTACTTCACGAGCTCAGTGAAATATAAATCATGCAAAATAGCTGAGCTTGTGTTGAATTTTTTTCCCCGCATAAAATAAATAACACAAGTACAACTACAGTCATAAGCACCACCACCAAAAATATACCCGACATGTGTTGTATCCACGGAAGAATAGTCTGTGGTTGTATCTATTTTTGTCACAATTATATAATTTTAAATACATTGTTAAGGGATAACATGATCGTCACTAATATAAACAATAATTCAAACTAATATTATAAAAGCGAAAGTAACTCTGTCTCTTACGTTTTTACACCTAAACCGTTGAACCAGTTTTGGTATAGATACATGGGACCTAGGAGAAAGACATACGCTACTTTTTGTACCAAAACTAAATCTGAAAGGGAGTGAAATATGGGATAACAGTTTGTATGGAGAACCAAAGATTTCTCAAGTAATGAGTACAGTAGGCTACTCGAAGTACTTATTCTACGCAAACGAAGTCACGAGCGCCAGATAGTAGTTAATATAGAAGAAAATAGTGCAAAACAAATATTGATTACAATACCAAAAAAACAAAATATTGCTTAATATTACGTAAAAAAATCTGTACACTGGAGATTTATCTAATAAAAATTATATTTCCTCGTTTGAAAATGTTAAATACAATATTATCAAAAAACAAAATGTTGCTTAATAATTTTAATATTACGTAAAAACTCTGCGCTGGAGATTTATCTAATAAAAATATATTTCCCCGTTTATAACATTTTCAAATTTCGGGTTTTTCGTCATAAAACATAGTTACGTGTTTCATTTATTTGTGTGTAATGAATTTATGGTACAATATGTGCTGGAAGTCCGCTTCCTATAGCAACCAAACAATGAACTCTAAAGAGTAATATAACTTTTTTCACTTTGACATCATTGACCATGGTCCTGAGCAGACCGATAACCGCGAGATCCGGTATACAATACAAAATGTGTACAAAAGTCGAAAATTTAAAATATATTGTATTTTTATCTTCTACGTTACTAAACGATCCTCAAACTGCCATAAGGAACTCACATTAAAATTCCATATACAATAATTATTACTGACACAGAAAAAATCCTTCGATGTGACTGGTCTCGAACCAGCGTCTGTTGCCACACCGGGGCCACAACTCTTAACCATTGAGCTACAAACCAAGGCAGCAGATCTTACAAATTTCTTTATGTGTTTATTGTAGCTTTTTATTAGGTTTAAAGGACTTTTTGCTGTCGATTTTTGTAATATATGCGCGATAAAATAAATATTTCCATATACAACGTCATTTTCTGTTGCCGTCATGTTCTGGGCCAGTGTGGTGAACTTTGGCCGCGGCTGTTACAACCTTTCTGATCCGGTTGTTATAACAATGACAGATAAAACTTTAAAAACAATACCGACTGAACACGCTTTAAAATATCATAACTACTATCATGATCATAAGCCACGAGATTACGGAGGTAGACATTTGGTTTATTTCTTATTTACAAGCGCTATATACGAATTTAATTATGAGATTCTATGTAACCAATACTGATAACGGAACTACAGTGGGACATGTCATCTTTTACACTATAGAACATAAAGTCTGAATCGAAGAATGTAAATAATTCGATCGTCAAAGTTTTAGGTTGCGTACATTCGTGCTAAATAGGATTGTATTACTAAGATTCCAGTTGTGTTAACGGAAATCACAATTACATACGTAGAATAATTAACATTAGGCCCTGGGGCCTTACCATGAACTCTTATTACGATTCAGTTTAGGCCCTAAAATGAATCGTAGTGAGACAGCGCTACATGAAGTGTGTATCACCGTTCCGCTTTTTTGTCGTTACGAACCTATACTGAACTGTAATAAGAGTTCATGGTAAGGCTCCAGTACTCTCGTTCTCCGTCCGATATCCGTCCGAAACAAATACTGTACATAAGTAATACTTTATAAAAATAAATTAAAATAGTATTAATTATTTGACAGTAATTGTTTTGACCCCAGTTTTGGCTTGTTCGGGAGTCTCACCTACAATCTGTATCACTAAGATGTAACACTTATTCCCTTTCTTGCCTTAAAAATACTGCCGTCCTTATCATAAACAACGTAATCGACATTTTTAGCGAAATTTAGTTACTAAAATATCTGGAATCAACCTCTACAACCCGCCATAAGCGTTATGTTTATATCTTATTTATTTACAGCTTTATTGTTAAACAAAATTAGCGTAACTGACATTTAAAAAAAATGTCAGTTAAGCTATTTATGACAATTTACTATTTTCGCATGTGTGTAAATGGTAAATAAAATTAGTTGTGTTGACAAGAGGAAAAACCTTTTCATACGAAATACAATACCTACATGGTATATTAATAAAGATAAATTAATAACGCAGTGCAAAAGGTAAAGTAGTCAAGGCGAAAAGGGAAAAAATCCTATATCTTACACTGCAACATACAGTACGTGGAAGCGGAACAAGCTTTTCAAAAAACCCAGTATCAAAACGCCTGTTACTTAAAAATCTATGTGGAGGCTTCTTAGTTGGTAGCGGATGGACGATCCAGCTACATCAACAATACTTTTCCTTCAAATTCTTCCTCAAAATCTTACCAGCAGGGTTTTTAGGTATCTCCTCAATAACCTGTACATCTTTAAGGTTCTTAAAATCTGCAACTTTACTATTAACATAGTTTAATATTTCTTTAGGGTCGACATTCTGACCTGGTTGGAGGACAATGAAGGCTTTAGGTGCCTCTCCAGATATTGGATCAGGTATCCCTAACACGGCGCAGTCGAGTACCTTGGGGTGCGTTCGAACAACTGTTTCTAACTCCGCCGGTGGTACTTGGAAGCCTTTAACCTGTAAATTAATATTTCTTTCAGTGGTGCACATATGAAGATCATGCAGGAAAAGAGAGTTTACATTTTATAATAAATTGAGTTCTTAGCTTTTCGCGGTTGTTACATGTAAGAAATTAAACTATATTTCAGATCTAAATAGCCCAAATTAATTTTTTTAAACAAAGCAATGTTTCGGGCTCTTTACAGGTCTCATGCCACTTCTGAGTGACAGAAAAAACAGGTGCATTTCCCATTTTATTATAATTACATTATTTGTTGTCACTATTGTTGCCGAAATGAAGCACCTGATCAAAACTTAACTTACCAAAAACAGTAAAACTCAATTAGTCAAGGTAAATCATTAACCGATTGACTGACAAAAACTTTTTAGAAAGTACATTTTTAATGCTTAAAAGCTACAACATATCTTACGTAACAAATCCTGCTGAACAAGGAGTCTCAAAAACATTTTTTTGATACAAATACACATCAAAAGTGTCTAGAGATCAAGGTATTTTTTTTTAATATTTGAAGACCTTATTAAAGTTAAATAAAAATATTTATATAAATTTATTAAATTACTTATTTAGTTACTTCTTTTTTTAATTATGAAATTGACCAAAAAAACCACTGATCTTAAAAAACCTGATCGATAAAACCGTGCTTGATCCCGAGACAATTTTGAAATATATGTTTGTAATACTTCCACCAATGGTCAACAAATTAAGAACAGTACATGTATATTGTATTAGTCGACGACCTCGGTGGTCCAACAGTTTACACAACGGGTGCTTCATGACGAGGTCCCGGGTTCGATTCCCCATAGGATCAATTGTTATATCAATAATTGCCTCCGTGGCCGAACGGTTACCATGCCGGACTGCCACGCAGAGGTCCCAGGTTCGATTCCCGGGCCGGGAGAAATATTTGTATGGCCTACATTTATTTCTCTCGTGAGTTTGGGTGTAATTTGTGGTTGTCTATGTGTGTGTCCATGGCACCCGCGACACAGGGTTTCCCTAGTGCGGGGCTATGTTGATTGTGAGCGTTATTATAAAAAATAAAAAAAAAAAAATTAGAGAAATGAACTTTTATGAATTGGTTCTCATCTGGGAGTACTGAGTGACTGAATACTGGTACTCGCAGTTCAGAAAATTCTCTCGTTTTCGACTAGATAATTGGTGTGATTGGCGCATGCATGGTTGATGGATGAAGAGATGAGATGAGACGTCGCAACCAATTTCCCGGGCCCTAAGTCTACTAATTTTAAATAATGTTAGTTGTGCGTCGATAAAGTACCAAGAGCACGATTTAGCACATGCGGACTTCTGCTAAAAGCTAAGAGTAGTGGTTTGTCAGTGGTTGCCATTAAGTCACTATTCAACAGCCATTGCAATTTTTTGGCATTCCGCTCTTCAATGAAGAGTCGATGACGTAATCTGCTAATTATTTGACGTTTCTTTCGATTTGTTTCTATTTACAATTTAAGCGCTTAAATAGATTATCGAGTTTTATTTAACGAAAAATATATTTTAGTTGCATACTAAATTGCTGAAACGAAATAAAAATATGCACAGTAATTATCGAGTTCTTAGGTTTTCGCGATTGTTACACATAGGAAATGAAACTATTTTTCCGGATTTAAATTGAAATGAAATAAAATGAAATGAAATATTTATTCGCAAGCAAACACGGTAAGAAAATATATTATTATACAAGGTGTCAAGAACACGTGTTGCACCAGATACTGGCACGCAAATATTAAAATAAATTGAAGTTAAATAATGTCATAAACTAAAATTATACAATTTGTCAAATAAGCAATGTCGTATAAAATTAAGTAAAAATGCCAATAAATAGCAACAGCAACAACATCATAAATTAAACAATATCAAAGAAGTAAGAACAGCACAAATATAACCAAGATATACGGTTTGGATATCTAGTTAAAAAATTACGTACTTCACGTTTCCTAGTAAATAAGACTAAGTTTTTTTTAACAAACATGCATACCTCATATACGTACATGGCGGGAAGCGTTAAAAGATTTAGCTTTCTAAAAAACGGTCTACAAGATTCGAGCGGACCTACTCTACATATAGCTCTGACACATTTTTTCTGGATAGCAAATACACGGTTTATCTCTACTATAATGTTTCTGATAAACAAAGAACATCAATATTTTTTTTGTTATTACGGAGGTCTGATAATGTAATTTCCAACAAGTCTTTTTTGCTTAAGAAACCCGCTATGTTAAAACATGCAATAAATTGCATGATTCGAAAATTGCAATAAGTATCTATAAAAAAGAGGAGGAGTCACAAACAACCTTTATCAACAAGCTTAAATCTTTAAAAATTTGGCGAAGACCTGTGTTATTCAAATTGCCCTTAAAAACAGTAAACATGCGATTATCGTACGTAAGATTCTTATTCGAGTCCAGTACATAAGCATATTCATGAGTCAATTTGTCACGATAGAGTAAATTGTTAAATGTGTCAACACGCTCGTTAAATAATATGCTTGTATTCAACCCGTGTCTGAAAGTTGGTAAACATATGAACACATTGGTATTTTGAATTTTTAACAGTTCAGTCCTGAGCATATTAACTAAAATTTTACAGTCCATACTGGTTTCAATTTTGCGTATATTTGTTTTTTCAAACAAACCGACGTTTCGGGCCCTTTACAGGTCCCATGGTCAAGGTTGACTGTCAACCATGACTATGGGACCGATGAAATTCGGAAAAACAAATATACGCGATTTAAATCCGGAAAAATAGTTTCATTTCCTATGCATAGTAATTTCTATGGTAGTTTTAGTAAGGCCACATCGATTGTTAGTGATTAAATGAATGAACGCATCACTGCCATTCTACTAACACTACTGAGACTCAACCGCCAATGGTACTAGATTATTGCAGAATAATCTTAATAGCTTTAGCAATATAAACTTAGTGGATTCTAAATGGAATTACAATGCTCATTGGTTTCAAGAAAATTACCAGACTTGAGGCCCAGTTACCTTTTATTGCTTTCCATGATGTGTCTCTGGTGTGTGTGTATATGAATGAAATGTATTAATGAATGAACAAAACAAATAGGGGTATGTAAGTAATAAACTGCCTCCATGGCCGAACGGCTACCATGCTGGACTGCCACGCAGAGGTCCCGGGTTCATTTCGATATTTGTATGGCCTACGTTTATTTATCTCGTGAGTTTGGGTGTAATTCGTGGTGTAATGTATGTGTTCCATGGCACCCGCGATACAGGGTTTTCCTAGTGCGAGGCTGTGTGTGCGTTAAAAAATAAAAATAAAGTAATTCGTAAGCGAGAAGTAAGCAAGGATTAATTAATACATTTTCTTTAATATACAAGCTATATATTGGAAAGTGAGACATGAATATGTCATACATGTCGTAGTAAATCATGTAACAACTTAACATGGACTAAAATAAAATTAGGATATGGAATAGAACAAAAAATAAGTCAACAAATGTGTTTTGAAGTGTACATAGGAATAAACCGTTTCCCTTAACGCTTGATTTCGAGTGCAATGGGAATACTACTAAGCGAGCGCCGAGTGAGACAGCAACAATAACAATGATTTCACATTTACGTTTTAGCTTATGTTAATTATTTTTTACTTGAACTATCATCGAAATGTTTTACGTACTAAAAAAGATAAGTTTATGATTTAGTAACTAGATATCATTTAATAAGAATTGAGGTTTTTGGCGTAGTTAAGAATGTGAAATCAAATTATTTCCAATGATTGATTTTTTAGTTATTTACAGTTTATTTACACTTACGTGGTATGGAGCAAGTGTTCAAAAGGTCCACCGTTTTTCACAATGCATAGTCTAGCACGGCATAGTAAATTTTGTTTTAAATTGTACAACACAAACACATTTTGTCTCACACTATCAAATGCTGAGATAATCCTCTCACGCAACACTGACACTGTTCACCTCCTCCGCGTAAACTCCGATTTGGGAACATTTCAATAGCTTGCCTCACACTATTATCACTTATTGCGTAAAGTCGCACCATCTCAGTCAATTCGACGTTAAAATAAATATCCATTTTGCGGCGATCGGGCGAGCGAAAGTACAAATAATTTACGTGTCTTTGTTAGATCAAGGTCGCGCGTGCACTGAGCAATTTCGCGTATGCGCCCGCGCCCTAAACCCCGACCTGTGCTTTATTTTTCGCCGCCGTACCGCCACCCGCCGCTGCGTCGGAGCAATAATAGTGATGTGCATAGATTTCGATAACTAATGTTGTTCTCGAGTAGTAGTTGATAAAAAAAAATTTAAAAATATTTTTTCTAAGGTTTAAGTTCATTACTTTATTATTTCTTTGGGTTCAGAATCAGGAATATAACGCACTCTATAAGTATGTCCCACTTCCAAATATACAGCCTGTATAATAGACACACGCTTGGCCACAATCTCACCTGATGTTAAGCAACGATGTGACCGACGATGGGACGCGTTTGCCTAAAAAATGCCTATTCACTCTAGCCTTGAATAGCCCCAAATTGTACTTTTCGCGAAATACAGATGCCAATGTAAAGCATTCCAATCCTTTGCCGTACGCATCAGAAAGGAGGAAGCAAAAAAAAGGGTTTAGTGCGAATAGGTGGAATATCAACGACATAAGAATAACGGAGAGTGTGGAACTAAATATTGAAAAGTTCCTGCGCACGCTCCCCGAAATGTATCCGATAGAAAACCGACAAGCAGGCTACTTTTCTGCGATGGTCGTGATTTTGTAGTGTCGACTCCACAAGAGAATTGTTGTTAATAAGTCTCTTTGCTTTTCGCTCCACCGAAACCAAGGCAGTTAACTGGTAATGGGCAGAGCCGTCCCATAGGTGGCAGCAGTACTCCATACATGATCGAACTTGTGCTTTATACAAATTTAAAAGCTGTTCAGGTGTGAAGTACCGACGACCTTGTAACGTATGCCTAGTTTTCTGGCAGCAGTTTTTGCCAAGCATTCGATGTATCGCCCAAAGTTGAAGTTGGATGATAAGCCAAGTTGCTCAATAAGGTCCGTTATGGGCACGGATACATCTCGGAAAGTCGGAGTAAGGTGTAGGGGACTCCGTTTTGATGTGAAAAGACACGCCTGTGTTTTAGCCGTATTAAACCTGACCCTGTTCGCATCTCCCCAGTCAGAAGTCGCTTTCAGGCTCATATATATCAGGTTCATATATAATACATACCTTTATAAGTTCTTTCAACCGATCAGTGACATACAAGTACTTCTTGTCGTCGTATTTGCCAACGTCCCCGGTTTTAAACCATCCGTCCTGCATCACCTCTTTCGTGGCCGCCTCGTTATTGTAGTATTCCCGCATGAGTAGAGGACCACGGACCCAGATTTCGCCTTCCTGGAATGATTTTACAGATATCTGTCGCCACTTCAACAATATCGTCTCCAGTCAAGGAACAAGGGCATTTACTCCCGTTTTCCGTCTGACATCCGTCCGAATCAAATTACTGTCAAATAAGAAATACACGACCAAATCAAAAGACAATGTCAAATATGAAAGAAAGAAAGAAGACAGAAAGAAAGAAACGTTTATTCAGCTTAACAGATAATTCATATGTTACAGCTCGCCTGCTGTAACACTGGTTTTCATTTGGAACCGCTATTACAAGTGTGTACGTAAGTACAAGTGTGGTAAACACTAAAATTATACAATGTAACTTAAAAATTAACTAAAAACAAGTAGAAAAATTACTAGTAGGAACTATTACACGACTTGAAAGTATATAAAATACTGTACTTGTCAGGGATTATTACACGAATTGAATGTATATGAAACACAGCACTTCATCATCATCATATCAGCCGGAAGACGTCCACTGCTGAACATAAGCCTCCCCCAAACATTTCCAGACCAGCCTCCAGTGCATCCATCGGTTACCCGCCTATGAAGCTGCATTTGCATCATGCGTTTTTTTAATTTCCTATCCTTCCTATTTTTTTGATCCTACGTAAATAATCGTATGTCGAAATTGCCAAGTTTACAGGGGAGCGTTTTAAAGTTATGAATTCACTGAAATGAGCTTAACACGTGAATTTAGCATTTCTCAGTCTTATTCGAAAATTTTACCGAATAAAACTGAGAAATGTTAAAGGCTCTAGTTGCAGGTAGTAGTTTAGTGTAATAGTGCACATTTCAGTGAATTCAAAACTTTAAAACGCTCCCCTGTAAACTTGGCAATTTCCACTTGGCAACCGAAACGTAGTAAAGCTCACATTACTGCTTGGCCACAAAAATATATAAGTAGCAGTACTTCCCTGGACGAACTCTTTCTCAAGGAGCTCTACTGCTACTAAAACGTGCCATCAACTACTAAATTGTCCCCAACTCGCATTGGGCTAGCGTGGCGGACTATGGCCTACACCCTCACCTGAGAAGAGACCCGTGCACAGCAGTGAGACTTCTTCTGCTTATCGTATCGATACTTCTTTTATTTAGGACTATATTGACCCTGAATAGTATGTTGCTACTTTGACTGCGCTGTCCGTGGCCGCGTAAAGATCTTCCCTCGTACAGGTATTGGAACACAAGGGGCACAACAGTAAGTGCTGCAAGGACTGTGTTGGGACACCGCAGTCATACTGGGTTTGACTAGTATCCTTGAAACCCGATTTACAGCAATGAGACGTAAAATGGATTGATGATGATGTGTTGCACACAGGACGTTTAACTTTTTATTTTAACTCCTGTTGACCTCACTGCATTTAAAACGTTTCCGCGTCGTGTGACGTGTAATTCTTACCTGATTAGGTCCTAAAGCTTCTTGCGTTTTAATATCTGCGATCTTGACCTGGCAACTACCAAACACGTGCCCAACGGATGAGTGATTAGTGTCATTTCTCTTGCCTACTGAAGTTCCACCGTTCGTTTCCGTCAGGCCGTATCCTTGGCGAAAGTTTATGTTTTTCTGAATAGGAAACACAACACATTTAAAAAAATATTAATAAGGCCACATGTAGGTCACACTGGCAAGACACCATTTGACCATAGAACGGCACGCAGATGTTTTAACAATGCCAATAGACAATACGTAATTCAATTCATTACAATTGCAAAGTGCGGGTCATCGCACGCGCCATCTGACAAAAAGTAGAGCATACTTCAACATAGATATCGTTGCCCTAGTTGTTCTTATTATACTATCTATGGTAATGCTATTGTACACATTGTAAATGAGCAAAATATTATAGTAGTTAAACTAATTAACCTGATTCATCGCCTAAGTCTCCATTCACCCCATTTGACTGCATAGCACTGTGTGACCTTCATGTGAATTGTCATGATCGCTATACATCATATGGAATGTTTTGTATTTGATAGTAATTGTAAGTAATCGAGACAATAGTCTGGAATTGCAGTCTCGGGCAAAGTCCGCTGCCCCAATGACCGCCATTATCTAGTTGAATAACGCTTTCAAAACAAACTATATCGTTTGTAATTTATATACAACCTGTTTATTATTTAATACAATATTTTAGATAGGTGGTAAATACTACCTAATATAATAATAACAACTAAAAATTCTGCGAAACAAATTAGTCGATAACTTTTTATGATTAAGTAGAAGAATTATAATATTTCACATATACATAATTTGTTCCATGTAGTTCGTATTATTTTATGACTTTCATGAATGTAATGAAAGCTTAGAGGATGGAAAAAAGCATATAAGACTCACGCGAATCACGTGAGAATCACTTGAGTTTTTTGTATTATAAGTATGTACGGTGTATGTTCAATGCTTCGGATCTCTTTTGTTACCAATAAGAAAAAAATTACGATTTTATCTAAGAGCGTATTTGTATATAAAATTTTATTACATTGTAATTTTCTTCACAAACCTACATGTAATTGCTATTACATGTAGATGTATATACAATAACGTTTTAACGCAGGATACTACGATTTTGAACCAAGCATATATTGACGAGCAGAGTAAGCAAAACTTTATCGTAATAAACCACGATATTCTCACTTAAAAAAAATTGTTTTCATGTACGACAGCTTTTTCTAGTTCTACGTTTTGATGTAGCCGGCTGTACACATTAAATAATTAGTATTGAAGTACAAATACAGTTGTTTGATCCAACGATAAGAATGATCAATAATTTCTTTGTAGGCTTATCTTTGGGAATATGGGCATTCTTCAAATTAAGATAAGGAGTATAATATTATGATTCATTGTATTCTTCGGTAATTAGTCTACTAACTCGAGACATTACAACACTGCGTATGACGGCAGCGTTTTACTTTTTTTTTGCTGTGACCTTCAAATAATTGAGTTGGTCTCTATTCTAATAATAGGAGCTTGTAATGTCTCACAGAAAAACTTGAATCGCTACGGGTCAACGTCCAATCTTGGCGCTCTAACTAACGTCTCACGTCATTAGATAAATAGAAACAGTGCTTCCTCTTACACATATATAGTTTTGTCTGTTCCTGGACACGCAAGCGATTGGATTAGATGTAGAGTGGGATAAGAAGTGCTCATAATGTAGACTAGGTGTATTCAGACCATTTCGTATGGGAAGCCAATGCTAAATTTCTTCGCTAATTTTAAATTAACTTATCGAAAGTCGAAATGGACTAAATACACCGTGTTATTTTATTAACTAATATTATTTACATACATTTTTCTGAATGACGGCAGCAATATCGGATTCCGAGAGTGGCGCTGCGCCACATATGAGACCATGGAGAGATTCTAAGTGTTTGGGTGTGACGGCTGGGTGCTTGCCCAAAAATATAGCTGAAACGTACGCAATAATTACTTGAACGCAAACAAAATTTATGAAATTCTAGAAAAAAGAAACTTGTCTACAATAAAAATTGTATCTACTCTTCAGGTAGGTACACCTAAGCCTATTCATTCCTACACACGTTTAATTGTGTGTTATACATAGATACATCTATTATTCTCTATAAGTTTCGCAGGAAAATAATTATTATTAAACTTTGAGTTGGTGTCGCAAAATCAGCACCACCAACCATTTCTTTAAAATGACTTTGAGATTTGATTGAGGTTTTGTATTTCCTTCCCGTAATGAAAAAAATACTTCCCATCTAGTACAAGGTTTACTAGAAGCTGAATTATATTATTATACCTATGGGATCGGAAATAAACTTATGACAGTTTTTGCGCTCTCCTGTATATAGACTGGCGTCATATTTTAAAAGAGTAATTTATATCAGTGCAGAGTCTGTGAGATTATTGTAAATATGCAAAAGGTCAATTCAATTTGATGCTATTTTTATCAAAACAAATACAATATGTACGTAAAAACTTTGTTTTATTGTTCCGTTTACTACTTATTCATTAATCAAACAACTTCATTAAATAAAAATACTTGATTGAAATCTTTAGTTTACTTACCCATAGGGGGAACAATGAACAACACATGAGCTTTATGACTGACTATAGTCTGTAGGAACAGATCAGGTTTAAAGTAGGGCATGGTGACCAACTTGCAGCCCAAATGCATTTGATTCAACATCAAGGCGTTAAAGCCGAAAATGTGGAAGAAAGGTAGTATCGCTGGTAGTACTGATTGGTATGTTGCTAAAAATAAAAAAGGTTCCTATTTATAAACGTGTAGTTATGCACAATAGTACCATTTTTGTACCACTAGGTTCTCACAAAGAATATTTATGAAATTATTAAGGCTCATTACCTTTCAAAACAAAACAACAAATGGATCAGTATTTAATAAATAAAAGTAATCACTTATGAATGAAAAATATTTCCGTTCCAAATCATCAAACAAGAAAAAGAACTCACCGGTAGTTTCTTTAATAGCGACGACTTCAGGGTCTGCAATCATCCTATTTTCGGCGACAACACATTTGTGGGTCAAAACCACGCCTTTTGGCAATCCAGTGGTTCCACTCGAAAATGGCAACACTGCGACATCATCAGCATTTCTTTTAACAGACTTTAGAACATCAATGTCGGTATTTAAATCTCCCGCTAATTCTTCAAATTTTATCGTGCCTTCAGGAACACTATCATTGTCGAGCATTATGACTGGTGTATTTAATTTTAATGCGTTTAAAGCTTCTTTTATATTGGGATAAGATACTTTTGATGTAATAATTACTTCGCATGGTACTGTTTGTAGCTGTTTTTGCAGTTCATCTGAAAAATTACATGTAGACACTCACAATGCATTTCCCATGCCTTTATTTTATTTTAGTTTATTGGTTGCCATAGTATACCAACAAGCACTAGCAACATATTTTTGTTAATGTATGCAATAATTCAACATTCAATAATGCACAGAAATTATTATGATGCAAACTTGTTAGATCGAGCTTGTGTACTATAGTATGTATAATAAAGATTCTTGAATTCATTGCTTCAGTTCCGAGTCTTCTTGTGATAAAAAAATACAATGCTTCATTTCATTGTGCGATATAGCCTGTCTATCAACAAACTTTAGAATAGATAATAATAATAATAACACGCACACACTCAACATAGCCCCGCACTAGGAAAACCCTGTGCGCGAGTGCCATGGACACACACATAGACAACCACAAATTACACCCAAACTCACGAAAGAAATAAATGTAGACCATACAAATATTTATCCCGGCCCGGCATGGTAACCATTCGGCCACGAGGGCAGTAGATATAAGTTAATACATACAAGTTTTCTTGCTCGTCATGAAACATAAGAGTGGTAACACATGGCGACATTTAGCAGCGCTGCAAACGCACGCTTGTGAAACAAGCAATTGCATCGCTGCACTTGCGATTTATAGGCGATGGCATCGATGCAAACGCGCGACTGCATCGATACAAACGCGCAATTGCATCGATACAAACACGCAACTGCATCGATACAAACGTGCAATTGCATCGTTACAACCGCGTGATTGTATCGATGCAAACGCGCTACTGCATTATTAACATTATGTATGTTGAATCACTATGTACGAAAAATCTGTATAGGTTTATGCACAACTGTTTTAAAAGTGAAATTAATATAGCATAGAACGCAATCAAAAAAGATTTCGTTTTTAAATTTCCGTATTAAACGGCAATATCATAACGAAGATTATTGATGATTTTGATGATTATTGAAGATACATATTTGCAAAATCCATCATTTTCTTCCTCTTTATATGCGTCGTCAAATAGTCGATTGCACAAATATTTTATAAATAGCTCAAAATACAATTGATTGTCCTGAACCACTGTAAATACTTAACTTTTTGACACCCAGGCGTAATTTTAGGGTTAACCAAATATTTTATATAGTCTGTAGTCTCAACCAATTACAGAAAGAATTCGTTTCTGCTGCGAACTTGCAACATTATCAATAACCTAGTCAATTCAGTAGGTATTGATATCTTCAACACTAGAGTTGCCACAGCGAGGGTTACTCAGCGATTTTTTGTTTAATTCTTAGGAAAGTATTTTCTATTTTCTTGAATTTACGATTGTAAAATTCTCAAAATTTCTTCGATTTCTGTTTTTTCTGTCTCTAGAGTGCTTACATGTTTATGCTATATCTAAAAGTGTAAACTATATTGACCTACCTCATTGCTTATTTTAGTTATATATGTATATAGTTAAAGTTTACCATGAATAAATAAAATAAATAAATATTATAAATACATAAAATAAATAAATTAGTTAATTAATTTAAAACGTGGATCGCGTTTGCATCGCGTTCGCATTGCTGCTTAAAGTTGCGCGTGTGTAACCGCTCTAACTTGTAACAACAATAATAACAATGACAACATCAAAAATAAAGCCTCATGTCCATCACGGAAGTAAATATATACTTACTCAAAGCTAAATCGTCCCTATGGAGTACCTTATGGCTCCAGTAGTTCCTACTCCATTTCATAATTAGCACTCAAACCCGAGGTGGCAGCAAACATACCTTACAAAAAGACTAGTTGCGTAATCTGCGATCCAATTATGTATGTCACTTTTGCTACGGGTGAATGTGACGACTACAATGTAAACAAAAATAACTTACAAGCTGTGTAGGCATGGTTCATCATACTAGCAATGCATCCTGCCTGCAGTACTCCCAACAAGGCGGAAGGGTATTCTGGCATATTGGGCAATATTACAGCAACTTTATCACCGTCCTTCAACTTAAGCTTAGTTCGCAGGGCAGCGGCAAAAATTAAGGACATCTTATGAGACTGAGCGTATGTGTAGCCACGACCTGTTAACGCACAAACCTAAAACAGGAATTACTTTAAATAAGCTATTTCAGTTACATCTTACGCAAATTATGAATTATTATAAAGGAGATACTCCACAGTTAAAATTATTATCTTATACGTGTATCTTATATATAAATGTTAAATAAATATGTTCCATTACTGGAAAATTTCAAAACTCGTTAAAATCTTGATTTTAATATTTATCATGATGCTCTACTTAACTACTTATTTACCTTTCTCGAGAGCAATCTCTACAATCTAAAACATTGTAATAAACTATACCTTAGTATTATGATAAAAAATAACAGAAGACTTCGATTATGAATTTTATTGTGATGAAGCTATAAATATTTTTCTATATGTATAAATATGTATATTAAATATATATGTGTATTATATATTATATATATTAAATACATAATATATAATACATATTATACATTATGTATTTAGTTGCTTATACAAGTATATAGTTAATCATACATATAATATTATGTGTTATATTTATATTGTGTTTAAACTATATATCACACTGTTAATACAATAGCGTATCAACTCAAAAAGTATATTTTTTCAGAATTGATGAATAACGAATACTCACTTCCCGTGAAAGATCATTTATGAATAAGGTAAAGTTTATTACTGTATTCTAAACAATTTCCTACTGGCCCAATGTTTTTAAAAATACAAGGGAAGAAGTAATTTCATATTTTTGAGCAATGACTGTATGTTTTGGCCAGAACTAGCTCACATAAAGATTGTCTCATTTTGAGTTTTAAGTAAATATCTTTTAATTGTTTCTTACAATATTCTTCAACAGTTTTATTGATGTGTAGAGAATCAAATTTTGATTTCAGCAATGATTTCATTCTGAAATTCACATATTTTGAGTTACAACACTATTGCAATATTAGTGCAATATCATAATTATTTATATGATAAACTTCTTCCAATCTGTTTTAATTAATATTTTATGCACCCCTGTTAATTATTTTGAACCCACCTTTCTGGTTGACTGCTAGAGAATGCCTAATGACATTCAGGGTCGCATTCTAGAACTATACTCAATGCTCAAGTCAGGATTTTAGTATGGTTTGAAGCACTCGAAATCATACTCAAGTCCCTGGCATTAGGGTCGTATTTCCAGTGCTTGTGTTGCCAGGGCAATCCTGAGTTCTAGAATACGACCCTAAGTCTGCCATTTGTACCGTTTTGTGTGCAATTAAGTATAAATAAATCATTATTTTTCTCCAAGCGAAATATTCTATTTAGGTCTTCATTATCTTCATAGCATATTTGTAAAACAGATCAAGCACTTACAGTAGCAGTCTTTTCGGGCCATCTGTCCAAATTCTGCCACACAAAGTCCGAAATCAAATCATTTGTGACTTGTACGTCTTTGTAAACCGATGTAAGTAAGTACTTTTCCTCAGACTTACTGCTTTTATGGCGAACAGCCACTGAGTTAACAGCTACTGTATGTTTTCTAATAAATTGCAAGGCTGAACGACGAAGTGTAGTTGCCATTTTTGCCATAGACTGAAAAAGAAAATAGGTAATAATAATATTAAACATTTTAGGGTTCTTTGAAACAACTGTACTTTGTAAACATTATTGCTTGTAAGGTAAAACTTGAAGGGTGCTACACTTAAATATATCATGCATTTAGAAAAAGTTAAGGTAAATAAATGCTTGGACATCTCAACAAAGAATAAATTTTAATAAGAATTAATTTTGTTCAACATTCTTACATATCGCACGTAAAGTAAACTTTTAGAAAAAGGCTTTTAAAGTTAATTAATTTGAAATTTGAAAAACGTTTAGTGACGTAATTATATTCAACATGCTTTATTGTCATAAAATACCTATAATTATATTACTTCTTCACAAAAAACGTTCAATGATAACTATGACTTTGTACTACGTAAAGTGCTACAACAGTGATCCAAATTCTAAAGCCTGTTCTTCAAAGGAAATACTTAAAAGCTGAAAAAAAAATATTTCTATAACGGCTGGCGAGTTTTATACAATTTAGATTCCTAACGTAATGGTGTTTTAACTTCGTTAACGTTAAAAGAACCGAAATAGACGTGATCTAAATTATTAGAGCATGTAGTGAGCAAAAAATTGTATAACAAAAATTTTAAATGTCCAAAAATCTAAAATTATAACTTACACAAGTGATTCGGCTGCGTGTAGTCTGAGTAGCAACTGAAATAGAATTTAGCTTTCTACTTTAGACGCACCGACCGATGTGGCGAATTACTGGAGCAAGAAATTAACAATTTGCTAACGACTTAATGTGACTATATAGGCAATTTTTAATGATGGTATTTTAACTACTGCATAACGTCTAATGAAGGAGTTCTGAATATTAACTCGTAGGGATACATTTGAAAGCAAAGTAGCAAAACCTGTATGCTTAAAAGTCTACCTACCTCACCTTGAAGAAAAAAAATTTAAACTTGTGCGGGTTGGTGACGCTAGCAACAGTAGGTATGTAGTAGTTTTTAAAACGAAACATACAAATGTTTTATCAATTTGAACTTTAAATCAATGCAATAAAGTGTTTACTAAATCAACACATCATATCAAATACACTACACTTTTGCACCGAACCCGACCGACCACAACTCAAATGAAGTTAAATGAACACAGAAAATCGCATGTCTATACCTATTTTTAATAACAATGAAATTATTTTCCAACTAAATCAAATGTACATCATACGTTTAGAAAACTGTAGTAATAAGATAACAATATAATTTTGTCGGTTTATATCATTAGCTGGGCTTTGTATTGATTCTTGTACCTCTTTCGACTGCACATTTTAGCCATAGGTGCGAAAGAGAACGCAGAAACTGTCAAATTACAAAGTCGCTGAATTAGTCTCTAGCTCAGGATATTTTCGAATAGGCGAACGATTTCCTTAATATTGTTGACAAGATTATTGTTGTTATTAAAAATAAATTTTTAGTAGATACCATCTTGACTGAAGGTAACAAGAATTATTTATTTTCCTACTTTTGTAAGAGCAATTCTTTTGCACAAGTTATCAATATTATAAACACTGTCTTGTTGTAAAATTATTTTCGAAGAGAATCGAAATCGAAACTTTCTTCTTAAATCAACTGTATTGAAAGAATGAGTGAGAATTTGGAGAGAATGTCAGTGTTGTCAGACTTTTGTGAAGTTAATTCGCCAATTTATATGTGTTAAGTAGTCGATATTCGACCAAGCCATAAAATCCCTAAAAATGAAGGAAAACAATTCTACCATTCTGCTTGCTGCCGGATATTGGGGAATATGAACTCTCTTATTTCCCCAATTCCCTACACATACAAATACTTAAACCCCCAAATGAGTTATTTGGTTGCCGCGCGACACCTCGAAGTACCCTAAATGGCGAAAAATCGCCCAATCTGGCGAGTAATGTTGCCAATTTGCGGGGAATTCCCCAAATTGCAGGGAATTTCAACTCGGGAATTTTGTGGGGAGTGGTGCTAAGTGGGAAAAATGCGGCGCTTCTAACATTTTATCATTTTGTTTAATCTATCGGTTGTTGATGCATCGCTAGTTTGATGGTTACTGATAAAAACACTATGATGAACGATATCGATATTTTTTTCAATGTTGCGCACTTAAGTGGAGACTTACACAGGGTGATAAAAAAAACACTAGCCATTTTTTTTCCTGTACATAAAGTTCAGTTATAGAACACATTAGTGAAATAAAACAAAAAAAAATCCCTATTTTTTTTATATGTTAATATTTCCCAATAATTTCTAACGTCTGGCCTGGTTACCTCAAAATAGTAAATAAAATTGACCGATCGACGCCAACACGTCGCGCCGCGCGTCGAGAAACCTGCGCTAACGCATCGCGCGTTAGTTTAATACTTTATTGTCTGTCAAATACTTGAACTCGCGCGCTGACTCCACCCACTGCCGCACACCATTCTTATTGCTATAGCAACGGCGTCTGCTAATCATCGGGTGTCAATATTGTTCACAATTTTCCGAAACACTTTGAGACGTCATAACTTATTTATATGTTAGGTATTTGAAAAAAAAACCGAACATACATATATGTTTTATTTCCATTATGCAGTATGCTCCTTTGAAAAGGTCAGTGGTTTTTTTTTATCAGCCTTTATAGCAACATATACACATATCGATTGTGAACTGGCAAAAAAACTTTACAGGATGAACAAAGAAATTGTTTGCGTCATTTATATAGCATCTAAATTATTAAATAAAAATACGTATTTTTCAAACATTTTTATTGCACATGTATGTATGTACGTACACTACGTGTTTTTATTGAATGAACCAGATGCTATATTAATGACGCAAACAATTTCTTTCTTCACCTGTAAAGTTGTCAAAATTGAGATAGTACCGATTGCCAGTTCACAGTCGATATAGAATTATTAGCAAGTCGCTTATAAAGAATTATTCGGTAGGATCACAGTACTTAGTTTTTCTACGCCACAACTTGCCACTCGTCAACTTCAAATATTAAATTTAGGTCTAAACTTAATTTACTCATTGATTATATCTAACCTTAGCATAACGCAATTATATTACTTAATTTTGTAAGACTAATGGTCGAATTCCAGAACTCTACTCAATGCTCAAGTCAGGACTTGAACAGACTTGAGTATGATTTCAAGCACTGGAAATATGACCCTAATGGCAAGGACTTGAGTATGATTTTCAGTGCTATTATATATATCAAGCAAGAGTGTAAGATGTAAAGCAAACAATGTAAATAGTGTAAGTAATGAAGGTAAGCAATATAAATAATAATGTAAGTTTACAAACATAATATTAAATTATAACACTAGCCACCAAATATGAGTATGTATAGGTACGGAAATTTAGGTTTACAGGTATCAAACGCATTGATTAAGGAAATATGTATGTAGCGAGACACATCTGCTCTGACAATAGATTTTTTTATATTCACGCTTAAATCGTTTTTTATTATTACAAAGACAGTTGTTTTGTGTTGTTGAATCTCATTAAAATAAATAAATAATTTAATGCATCTAATTTTACAATTTGGCAATTAAGTGATTTATAATAAACAGGTACATAATAATTACTCGATGTGGGTAATGTGAATTTTGCTCTCCCCAAATTTGGGTATTTTGAACAATTGGCATTGGCAACCCTAATCTGACATGTGGGGTTCTACTACGCGCACATTACGCGCTTCTTGTCTTCGTTCGTAGCGTCGTAACGTAATAAGTAGGAAGTTTGATTAGTAGGATCATTGACTTACAAATAAAAAAAACCATATAAACACGCACAATGGAATTTCACCTACTAAATCAACGAAACTAACTTACGTTACAGCCATCTCAGTCACACACCCACAACCCCACATATCCTTCTAACTTGCGCACGTAGTACAGTCAACAGCACATGAATCTATCCATACAATTCAAATATCGCCTCCGGAGCAACGAAAAACGGTTCATCAATGTTTAGCTTGATATAATATGCTGTCGTCCGTACTTCGCTGTCGCAGGTGACCTGTCATCATAACAGCCCCCGCATTTTTAAGAATACAACATATTTATTTGCTGAAAAAGTTAGTAATGCAGGTCTTAAGTATAAATTACATTAGATCGTACATTTATTTCTCTCGTGAGTTTGGGTGTAATTTGTGGTTATCTATGTGTGTGTCCATGGGTTTCCCTATAATTCTTTAACAGCGTCTGGTAATTTATTAAATACCTTGGGTGCTAATACGAACATCGTTGTACTGTAAAATTCCAAATTAGGGTATTTCTATTTTATTCCTTGTGTTTAGTTTTGACCTTAATAAAGTTGCTTAGATTTTGTTTCACATAAACACAGGCCTCGTATACATCGATGGATAGTTAATAATGTATACATTCAGTTTCCTAAAGTAAGGTACACAACTCTCACGCGGACCCACACCAAACATCGCCCTGACACATTTCTTCTGGGTTTTAAATAGTGGCACAATATGTGTTGCAGCAGCGTTTCCCCGGAGCAGAAGTCCATATCGCAAACTACTTTTTATGCGTGATAAACACAAAGAGCAGTTTTTTGTGATGTTATTCTTGTCAGATTTTTAGAACGTATATGTACCTATTTACTGAGTTTAGTATTTAAGTTATTGATATGTCTTCCAGTTCAAGTGACTATCAAGAATAATGCCTAAAAATTATGTTTCATCAACTTGAGCAACTGTGGCATGCTTTTTTTTGCAAAGCATAAACTTAGAAATATACAAATTAACTTCGAGATTATTTTTAGTCGTCGCCATTTTATAGTGTCACTTAGTGCTTCATTTAAAATCATTAAAATTAGTACATCTAACTACCACAGAGGAATCCTCAACAAAAATGGTACATCTCCTGTTGAACATGATCTGGCAAGCCGTTCTTATAGAATAAATAAAACTGGCCTTAAAATACTGCCCTGCGGTACACCGCGCTCTACAATTGTTATAGGTATTTGATTTTGGCTACTTTTTCCGGGTTTTTGTCCATGTATGTAATACGGGTCTCTTGTTAGCCATTCCGTAGATATAATTTTGATACATCATATGCGGGTCCTCTCAACCCGTACTCGTATATTTTGTGTAATAGTAATTTATGTGACACAAAATCAAATGCTTTCGGCATGTTCATGAAGATTGTAGATACTGCTTCCTTTTTATTGGTATTTTCCGATACAGTTGTCAAGAAGTCAATTATAGCGTGATTCGCGTATTTCTTTTTCTGGAAACCATACTGTTCTAGTTTTAATATTTCATTTTTCTAAAAGCCCATAAATAATATTATACATTATTCCCTCTAATATTTTGGATAACACTGGTAGTAAAGCATTGGAACGAATTAAGCTTTGTTATTATTTTTACAAGAACTTAATATGTACGCATTTATGAAAATTTCACAATATTTTCACTGAATGCATGAAACACAATAATTAAGGAAGAAACAGATGGTTTCGAAGTAAACACCAACGAAAATAATTATAAAACGTCAAATTAATGCTTCAACTACTTTTTATTTAGCTAATTTAGTTAGGTATGCAGTTTGCACAAGACATAATACTAAATAATAAACAATCATTTGTATCTTTGGTACTTCATTGGAACTTATACATATCACAATACGTTTTCAGAATTTGGAGATCTAGCTGGAATGTCAACATTAAATACTTACAGAATGTTAATAACATTCAATTATCTAAGAGAGCAGTTAGTAAATTTGTCTAGATTGTTGCAAAGGCCATATTATTACGATTTAGTTTATACTATTTTAAAAACAAGGTATGGGAAAAGAGGACTAAAAACATTATGTAATTGATAGGGAGGACTGGCAAAAAAATTTCCTTTCCCCAGTAATATAGACACATAAAATAACTTATAAACAAATTGACTAGTAATTTTTTTACAAAATGTACAGTTTGTACTACATCAGATTTTATAATGGAACCTACTTATTGTTCAATGTATGCTAGAGTTTGCACCTTATATGTATGTAACATTAGTCTTTTTCTACTTGAAACAGACTGAGTGAAACATTATTGATCAAGATTAATGAACAATTTATGTAAAACTGTAAAGACAAATTGTTCAAACTAACTAACTAATAGTGAACAGGACAACTTAGTAAAATTAAGCAATTATTATTATTAATGATTGTAAATATTATAATAATTTTGCCTAGTTGATCATTATAAGGACTAGAACCAACTATCATAATTCAATAGTAAATGCTTGCAGTGTGATCTATTGATCTTGGAAGGCTTCTTAGACCAGTGATTATGTAAAAAATTGTACTCTTAAAATTATTAAAGTAACTACATAAATACATCTTTGATATTTTGGAACTGTTTTACAGCTAAGTCAATGGGTAAATCAAAGTTGTATGGAGTCAAACGATCCAAGCTTTGTAAAGCATCCTGAAAACCTGAGTTGACAACATAACTTGTTGAAGAATAAAATGCATCAACCAAAGATCTTGTTTTCAGGATAATGTTCAGCCAAATTACAAGTTTATGAACATTCAAAGCCGCACAAACAAAAGCCTTAAAATGTGCATCATAACTTCTCTTATAAGGCATGTGGGAAGCTAAAATGCTACCAATAGCACTTAATAAACTCTGCTTGTTTGTTATAGCCATTCCACCAACTATGTCTAAGTTGAAACTTTGACTTAATTTTCTGGCTGGTGTGGAATTAAATCTATCCCCATCATTTAGTTCATAATACCGTAAAATAAGCTCCCAAATATGTGAAGAGCGAGATGACGAAGATCTTCTTACAGGAAAGCAACCAATTATCGGGACTAAGGAAGTTGAGTCCGGACCAGTCAAGCCATGCTGAAGTAAGTCACGAAGATTAACAGCCAGATGTCGCCGAACTGCAGTAGTTAATGGTGCATCATTGATGATTATTCCTCCTTCTTCCGACTCACTGTCGTAATTGTCAATCAAGGATTGTGATGATCTGTCTCTTGACACCATATTTACTACAGATTCTATAGACATCTCCAGTTTGGCTCGTAAATTACCCCAATGAGTGACAATAGTTGAAGATTTTCTTTCATGTCTTTTGTTTGTGTTAGGAGAACAACCAAACTGGGACACAGTAAAAATCTGTATAAGGGTAGAGGCTTTTCTCATCAAATTAATAGTTTCAGCTTTAAGATCATCATTCATTTTGTGCTTGTTAAAATTTTTGTCAAAGGAATTCTCAGGTTTCACTTTTTTTGTTTTAGGGATTTTTGATGTACCTTTCAGTTCCTCATTTTTCATTAATTTAATGAATTTCTGCATGTCTTCAATGTGTGTTTGCAATTTTGAAATAATTTCATCTTTGGACAATTGTCGATCAGCATACTGCCGTACCGCACAGTTGATTTGATGCCTTAATTCTTCAGCACTCAAGGGTTGATGGCACCCTTCTTCTAAGCTCCTGTCTATTTCAGTTCGTAAGTGCTCTATTAGCGTTCGATGTTGCTTACCTCCAGTTTCTGGGCTTTCCTCAGCAAATCTTTCAAGTTCCTTCAGCTGGGCCTTAAGTTTGTCGATGAAATGCGCCTGGCGTGCGCGTTGACGTCGCATTTTACGTTCTAACTCAACACACTCGCTGCAATTCTGTTCGTCGGAACTGCCTTGAGGCGCGGCGCGAGAGTCAGAGACACCCCGCGACGTAAATTCTTCCAGAGCCTTGAGCATAGCATCTTTCTCTTCCGGTGGAGCCTTCAGGATCTGTCGTAGACGGAATTCGACTTGCGCAAGATGTGATGTTAAGGAGAACACTGATGATGATAATATCTCTTGCTCTTCCTCCAACGCGTGGAGACGATCACCAGGTATCTGATCGTGGCTTACCTCGTCGCATAAAGTTTCTTTTGGGGCACCCAAAGGCTCACGTCGAGGCTCTTGCCATATCGGAATTTCACCATTTTCCACATCGTCGTCGCTGTAAGGAACGTCCGGGTCCAAATCCAAAGACATCTTTCAGTGCGAAAACAATACTCCTCTTATCAAATCATCTTGTGAGTTTTCATTTCATTGATTTCCCAAAATAACAAATTGGTGAAAAATGATAAAACTGAAAAGAGTTTAGTGCTGTGAAACTGTGAATGAATGACAACACAACAAAAGACGTCATCTTTGACGTCATGAGTGAATGGTTTTGTGTTCGGATATTCAAGTTTGTTATAAAGCAAGACCTTAGCTATGGACAATAATAATTATTATTATTTATAAATATGTCTATTCTACCTTTATTATTATTTGTAATGAAATATTTTTTTTATTTGCTTAGCTTAATCCTATAAACTGTCAAGCGTTAGTTTTTACTTTGATACCTTTAGGTATTTATTTAAAACGCGATAATTCTCATGCGAACACGTCAGTTTTAAAAATAAGTAAAACTGCGCGCGAAATTTAACTTCCCATAAAACTTTCAAAACTTACAAAATACTTTTACTAGGCATAATTACAATATACGCATGTATAAGCGAATTAAACAAAACCGTCACTAACAAAAAAATTGTCACAAACTTGATTGGAGCGAGTTTAAAATACAATACTTACGGTATATACCGCAGTTATTTTCTTTTATTAGGTAATCAAGATATTTAATCATTTAAAATAACGATATTGACTAAATGTTGAACTCATATGTTTAGAACACAGACATATAAATAGATAGACGCCGCAAGTGTACGTACTTCGCGTGCCCAAAATAAGTGAAATTCACTTACTTGCCGCTGCTATACTTCAGAACGCGCTCGACCGTAAAGGCCCATTTAGATGGAGAGAGTTTATCGCACGCTTCGTGACGAAAAATCGTACGCGATTATCGTAAGCAATAATCGCCATAAGATTATCGTATCATAATGTTTACATTGAGGCAAGAACTAAAATCTCGCCTACGATTATGTCATACGAGATTCCGTAGATTTCCGAGGCCTTTATCGTAGATAAACACCAGTCGAAAACGCGAAAAGTGCATAATTGTGCCATTATAAACTGCAAAAGCACCATAACTGTGGGTAAACGGGTAAGCAGGGACGTTTCCTTCCATGGGCAAGCGATTTTGTATTCAGAAGACGCAATTTATTTAAAAAAAAGTTATTTTGGGTTTCTACGAATTTCGAAAAAAAATGTACCCGAGTGTATGCCTTATGATTTGTAATACATTGCGGCTTTTACTTGGTGCGATATATTTGTGATCCTTTGTTAATACTATAGTATATACATATGTATGTCTGTGGTTTAGAATGTCGATTCTATAGATGTCGCTTGTTATATTCTGTTTCCGTCGGTTCTCTGTCCTGTTACGTTCTCTTCTCTATTGTTCTTGGTACGGTCCTCTGTTCTGTACATATTTGTTAGGAACAGAAGACAACTGTTGGATACGGCTCAATGCAAAAAATACCCTTTCATGTTCTGAGCGTTCATAATACAGCACCAATCTCTTTTAGTACCTACTTGCGTGTTGCTGTGAATTTGCATCACGCTTCCCCTACCCTTCATATATAGTTATGTAGCTGCACTTACTAATCCTGGAACACACTGTATAAGAAGCAATTTAAGAGCAATTATTCGCACGAATTGACTTGAAGTATGGGACAACTAACCTAGTTTGTCGGAAGTTATTCAAGATTGGAAATACCTAATTGTTGTTGTTAAGTTTTTAAATTGTGAAACTTCTTACGTGACTAGGGTAAACTTACAGTACCCTCTAATTCCATTTAGCATAGGTTAGTAGTCAATAAAGTAACTAGGACTATTTTACACTTAACAAATAAAAAAAATAAGAATTGTCTATACGCCAAAATTTAATTTGTATATAAAATTAGAAATGTATTTTATTTCACCCAAATGTGTTTTAAAATTGTTTCCACCATTGAGAAAATTTGGTGATTGGAATAAACTGAGAGCGCAATTTAATTTAATATAAACATTTTATTAATAGTTGACTTGTTGATAATTGTACTGAATGACGTAGTAAATAAAAAATAATAAAAATAGGGAGTAAGAGTTTGATCTGTTTTTATCCACTAAAAAAAGTCTAGTGCTGAATCAACGGCAACAGTAACCTATACCTTGAAAATCATGCAACAAACTTATTTAAACTATGTTAACATCTAAAGAGAATGATATTTTTAGAGATCAATTCATTGCGGCGAACAGCTTCAGTAACGCGTAAACCGTATTGACTTGCGGACGTGTTAAGAGACTTATTTATTTATTTATATTATTAACTTTAACATAGTGTTCTAAGTGAAATTGATTTTTTTATGTAACTTAATAATTGCATTTTTTCATTGAATTAAATTTATATTAAGTGAAGTTTTAAAAATGTCTAAAGATTCGAATAATAAACCTAAAGATTTGAATGACGTTGAGATGCTGATTGCTCCAAGTTCACCGAAGAATCAACCTGATATCCATTTGGTTACTAATGAGAGGAGACAGGGAAGGGAGAAAGTAAGTTCTAAAAATGAAGTTAGTATATTCTACGTAAGTATATCAAACCAGGTTTTTATGTTCTTCATACATTCATCAGTAAATTAACATCTCTCTCAGTTAACTATTAATTATTACAATTAAAATGCCAATTTATACAGTTGAGAAGAATAAATGCTTCCAGCTATAATAAGCCCTATTATATATGCTGGAAGCATTAAAAATTACGTGTTTGAAAAAAATAAATCAAGTAGTTTTTTTTTAATTTGAATTGGCTAATGAGCTACATCCATTTTAAAATGTGACTTTTTGTTACTGTTTTTACTTATTAAAAAGGATTAGGGCTAAATTAAATGTATGATATTGTACCGCTGCAGCATGCCCAAAATGTGGCAGCGTTCCGCCTTTATATGGCTATTGCTAACGCGTTGGGCAAGGCAACCCTTGGATCTAACTCTCCGTAAAAATGCGCCAAATACAAAGTTTTGTGAACTGTATACAATAGAATTTTATTTGGTAGGTTAAAAAAAATCTTAATATCACCGAACATTTAAAACCTTTGCTAGTTTTTATAAGAAATTTACTTGTATGTAAGTACCGGAATACTTACTTCTTACTAAGTTTATTGGACGTACAATCATCATCACTAAAGTTCAAAGCAGGTTCAAGGTAAAAATGACGGTTTACTCAATATTGTATAATAACAAAGTGTGCGATATCCCGAACTTGAAACGCTATTATAGAGCAGGTAAATGGACAAAATGTTCTTAATTTCTTTCAGGAATTAAGGACCCAAATCTTAAATATATTTTGTATATTTTTTAAATTCAAACTAAAATCGTTGATCGTTCTCATGATCATTTTATTTATACATTTATTAGTTTTACATATTGTTAGTAGCAGTAGAGCTCTTTGTAAAAGAGTTCGTCCAGGGAAGTACTGCTAGCTTATCTATTTCTGCCGCCAAGCAGCAATGTGAGCATTACTGCGTTACTGTTTTGAAGGATAAGAATTATGTTATTAAGCGTCACGCCTGTCCATAGTAGTTGCAGTGCCACTCAGAGTTTTAAATCACAAAGGTCTGAGGGATACGACCATTGCGGCAGTCACCCGTAGACATATGTTGACAAGACCCATGTGTCTGTAATTGCACCAAAGGTTTCATTATAGATCAAAAAGGACCATGTCGACCATTCTGAGCGAAAATTTTATCAACTGCGTGCGATTCAAATTCATTCTGACAATCGCATCATTATGTATCGTAAGTAAAAAAGTAACGTTTAAGATTGATTTAGTACAATAATTAATTATATTAGTGCATAGGTACTCATATAATAGAAATTAAAAACACTCATATTTTTAATGAAATTATAACGGGTACCTACTGCTTAGATACATAATGTATGTTATCATAGTTTGGGTACAATTATAAATAAATAGAATAGAATACTTATTTTCGCTAAGAAATATGCTAAAGTTTATCGGCGATTTAAAAAATACAAACTTCTACACTTGAAATTGTTATTTAACCCTGTTGCTCATTCGAAAAGAAGAATCTTCTTACAAGCAGTAGCGAAAGCCTCGAGAAGTTATTGATTTAAATACCACATCTGCAGACAAAAAATGCATCAAAGTTGCATGTTATGTTGTATTCCACACAATTTCTCAAATGAATAATGCATTGGAAACTGCATTGATTGGAATGCCAATATATGTAGAAATTGCGGTCTTACTGTAAATCGATTACTTACTTAATTAGTAAAGAAAAAAATGTGATCTAGTTTACTTATTAGAGCAATAAATAAACTAAACTGACCGGACTTGTGCTTGGTAGAGCTGAAACAACTGTTCCGGTGTGTCCCTATGTACTGACCGGAGAGATAGGGTTTTCGTGAGAGACTACAGACTCGATAGCAAGACCAGGGTACAGCGGGCGTCCGGGCCAAGCCCTCCGTCAGTGATACGCCTTTGGGCGTCTCTGGCGGACCCGGACTTGGGATGGACTCGCTGGGTTTTGTGGTTAGCTGCAGAGACGGACGTGTTTATCTGACCCTGTTGCATGCGTCCGGGGCGTCTGTCTCGAGAGCAGCTAGCGCGTCTTAGTAGCAGTCTAGTTGAAGGCCTGAAGCGAGGAGACGCGCGGGACACGTGATTTGCCCTTTAAGTTGGAAGCTATGTCCGGACATTATTGCAGGACACTGCGACTGGCATCTCCGGCACTAGCCCGGAGAGCTAGTAGAGGATAACCTAGATATCCTCCGGTCCCTACAGCCGCTTAGGTTATTGGGAACTGGAGAGACGTCATTTTTCGGCGTCGGGAAGTGAGCATGCCTTACAGCTTCGCCACCAATGAGGAGATTTGGTAGTTGACTCAGAGTCGACGGCTTAGCGGTTGGCAACCGCTAGTTGTGCAATGCGCAACGAGAAGTGAGCGTGCCTACAGCTCCGATACCTATCTGGAAAATAGGGAGGGTACCGTACGTGCACCCGGGGCGGGTCACACGAGGCACTAGCCACTCGAAGAACCGGATAAAGTCAAGTGACAGAGATCTGTGATAACCCTGTACACTGGCTGATCTGGGGTCAGAACCTGAACTTATAAGGTTCCTGTGCGCGCACAGGTAATAGTGCCCTTCTCGTATACCTTAAGGGTAGGTAGGGAGGGTCACTATAATCAAAACTAACGTAGAAAGATATGGGAGCTTGTCCCGATGTGAAGTAACGTTTCACCCTGGAAAGGATCCCAAGCTTCCTTGCTGCATGTTTGGCTATTGATTCAATGTATCTGCCGATGTACAAATTTGACGACAGATCCATTCCAAGTAGCTGGAGACAGTCGCCTATTGGTATGGATATATCACGAAAAGTCGGAGTCAGCTCAAAGGGACTCCGTTTTGTGGAGAATAGACACGCCTGCGTTTTGGTAGCGTTAAATTTGACAAGATTGCCGTCGCTCCAATCAGAAACTGGACTCTCGACAAGCCTGGATTTGCAGACAGTACGGAACCCTGAGGAATCTATCGCCATATGTTCGGAAGAGTAGCCGACTCGAATCCAACGTTCGCTCAAGAAATCCGAGATCCAATTGCAAATATCAGTGGGAAGCCCATAAGAGGGAAGCTTACTTAAAAGGCTTACGTGCCAGACCCCGTCAAATGTTTTAAAAACATCCAAAGAAACTGCAAGTGCTTCACCTTTCTTTTCTATAGCCTCGCTCCATATGTGACAGACATACACAAGAAGATCCCCAGTAGATCGCCCTCGTCGGAATCCGTACTGGCGATCACTTAGGAGGTCGTTGTCTTCAAGGTACGACAGGAGACGGTTGTTGAGTACACGTTCCACAGTCTTGCAGACTATGGAAGTGACTGGGATAGGTCTATAGTTGACAGAGTCAGCTCTGCTTCCCGTTTTCGGCACAGGTTACAGGTTTGCAAGCTTCCACGGCCTGGGTACCCACCAGTCTCAAGTGAAAGGCGGTACAGGCGTATGTGTGTGAGAACAGGAGACAATTCAGGCGCACAGTTACGTAGGACTAGTGCTGGAATTCCATCTGGCCCGCTAGCTTTATTCGCGTCTAGATTCCGTAGAGTTCTAAGTACCTCGTTTTGGGTATGCGAATCGGCGCCATAGTGCAGCCAGTCTGAGGTAAGATGAGATCCAGACGCGAACTCTTTGCAAAGAGTGAGGCAAAAAGATTTGCCTTGTCTTCTGCAGTATAGGTCAGCGTGCCGTCTGGCCTCGCAGAGGTGTGGCATAGATGGGCGACAAATGTAAAAAAATTAATTTGTCAACTTTTGGCGTCGCCATTTTCACTACGCATATACAATACGGAAGCGTGCGCGTGCTTACGATCGGAGCGTCTGATCGAACTGATAAAAATTTGATTACTATAGAAAATACGTTATTTTATTTTGTCCTTTGAAAAAGTATTTGTATGACGTTTTTTGTAAAAACAAACATCATTATAAACATTCGTTTTAGGGTCGCGCTCGCGCCGCCGAAACGCCGCCGCCGCCGGTTGGTCTATTATCGGCGCTCATATCTAGTGTGAATATGTCATAAGACGTAGTAGGGGTCGCATTTTATAAGCACAGGCCTAGAATTACGCTAGTATTTATTAGTAAGTAGACCACTTCCATTTTACTCTTTTTCTTGTAACTTGAAACCATGACAGATATGAAATTTTGCAAGTAAACAAAAAATCTTACCTTTGGTCAAATTTGCGATCAAAACCTGTTCTGAGACCTGTGTTTCGGAAAACGTATCCAGTTTTTTCACAGTTAACTATAGCTTGTGAGTCAACACAAAGTTAAAGACAAGTCGTAGACTTATTTTAAGCCGTAGATATCGTTTTTGAGCAACAATTAGAAGTGTTAAATAGAGTACATACAAGTTCTTATTAATTTTAAACTATAAGTATTACTGGAAACAAAAATCTTTTTCAAATGTTAAATGGTTCATTTAATATTTATAAACTGGACATTTGGACAAGGCGTAGGTAAATTAAAGAAATAAGTCTATGCATCTGCAGATATTGCGATTAATGAAAATTAATGCTAACTTGGTAGTAAATTATTTCTCGAATTCGGAACTAATAAGAATTGGACGTAGTGCGCAAATGCTCTAGGCAAATTCTCCTGAGAAGAATAAGTAAGACGCTCTAGGGGTTGCTCTTTGTAAATAAACATTTGTACACATTTATTATTTACAATATTTATTTCAAATCGAAACAACCCGCAAAAGCTAAACGGATCACGACCATGGATACCGGAGATACTAGAAGCTGTAAATAACCTTTAGTGTTAAGTTTTTGTTTCACTATAGTTTTAAACTTTATCATTACAAAAGAGGGTTACACATAAAGTGACTGTGAAGACGGCCCCCAAGAACAATCAGTTTATTTTTGCTCGTACTACTTAATATATTAAGTTTCATAAAAAAAGTTACGTAATACAATAACTAAAATTTGTCACTTGCGCACACGTGGTTACTTCCATAATGCCCGTTTCTTTGTATTA